GGGGGGGTTCATTATTGTGTGCCTATTTTTTTTTTATCATGCCTACTCACGGGACCCCCATATCGTGGAGGTGGGTAGATCGGTGCCGGCAAATTTGAGCTTAACGCCGTTTGAATGTGCGTTTTCTTTCGACTTAGGGGTCGTCGTGTTTTGTAATCGAGTTCTCATTCTGTTTTCTTACGAGTCGAACAAACAATTGCACTTTTTCTTTTTTTTTTGAGGCGGATCTAAAGATTATGAAGTTCGTTCATGAATGAACGAAGTTCGCTCATTTTTCGGCTATGCTTTGCACAAAGGCATAAATCAGTTTCTGCTAAATGTCCTGTAAGGATGAGCGGACGTTGGTTCTGTAAGGTTGCCCCAGGTGTTTTTGTGTGTTCTTAAACTTTTGACTTTTCAAAGTTCAACTCTTAAACCACCAGTCCATCTGATGCCCAATTGACGACCCAAAAGTTGCATTTGTCCAAGCCTAGCCTAGCTCAGTGGGTACACCCATGAACTGTTGAAATACAGACCTGTGTTCGAATCCAGATGGTGGAACTTGACAAGTAAAACCAACTACTAATGAATTGCTTGGGGCCGGTCAGCTCAATGATAATATCTCAAGGCCATCGCCCAGCCTCTGAAAAAAATGCACATTTTCCCCTTCCCACCGAGCCTCTGCCAGGTCTGGGCGTTGTAGATTTTGGGCCCATACTCGTGTACGGGGCCAAAATCTACAGTGCCGCCCACAGGTGGACCAGGTTTAAACCACTGGTACCTCCACCACTGTTGGGAAAATTGGGAACATTGGGAAAACAGGCAGTTTCCTCATTTTCCCTGAAAAGTTCGGAGGTCCTAGAGGCTCGGCAAGAAGAATAAAGTTTAAGTTTAAGTTTAAGTTTTATATTGCCCGCTCGTCGTGAAAGGGAAAAACAAAAAAGAAGATACTTTCACTACTGCAATGATGTCGCGCAGGGCAGGGTAGTCTAGGAGGCCGTGCTCACAGTAGTCCTCCACAGAATGAATCGTACAGCTAAAACGGTAAGATTGTGGATGTTGTTGTTGGGTGGAATCTGTGATCTGCTCAAGCTCTGTTTTCTTAGAGGATTGCAAGTTTTGTAAACTGTGATCACACTGGCACTTAGGAATGTATCCAGCCATCCATTTTCACGGACGAATCTGTGTTTCTTTTTTTGTTTTCTTTGTCTTTCTTGAATCTGACAACCTGGCCACGGGGCTGAGACGCCCTCACTGAGGGCACACTCACTCACACTACCACTTCCAAGAATGTATACAACTGCATTTCATGGCCAAAGATTTGTTTCCTTCCTTCCCTCCCCCCCCCCCTCTTCTCTTCTTTTGTGAGTTTCACGGCCGCGACTTTTCTTCTTTTCTTTTTATTTTTTTGTTCTTTCCGTGAGAGTACGAGAAAAGAAAATAGAGTGGGAGGCCGCAACTTTTCTTCTTTTCTTTTTATTTTTTTGTTCTTTCCGTGAGAGTACGAGAAAAGAAAACAGAGTGGGACCCAGGCTTGGCAAAACTCGGAGCGCAGTAAATTCCGGCTCGGCAAAAAATGGCTTGGAGGTACTACCGGCTTCACGCGCATAGAACGCCCGGTCATTATAGCTGCATTTGGCACAACTTTCAGTCCAGATGCAGCGATAATTACCGGGCGTTTTATTCGGGTGAAGACAGTAGTTGGTTAAGCAAATACAAAAACAAACTCCAGCGTTGGTTATTTCAAACTTTGTGACTGTAGATCTCGTTTTGCTTTCTTTATCGGTTTTCTAATTTGTCTCTTGATTTCTTCTCCTCTTTTCAGGCTGCTATGGTATTGCCATCAAGCCATGTACAAACAACTGGCTGCATGGATGGTTCATGGACTGCTTCAAGATCCGCACAACGAGTTCTTCATTACCGGGTGAGTTTGGAACAGCAGGGAAAAAAATAAATAAAAAAAATTACAAAGCGACGTCAATGTTGTATCTGACTTGCCGGGGGAAGAGTAACTGGATGGATGCTCCCCAGAATGGATAAGGAGCCAGGCCCATAAGGGACCTCTTTTTCATTCTTTTTAAGGAAGAAAAGAAAATAACTTTAAATAAGATAAATTACAGGGTGAGCAAGTTTGTGCTCTTCCCCCCTTTTTTTCCCACACAAAACCAGATTGATTCCATCTTCCCTTCCTTTCCTCTTCCCATTCTCACAATACCTAGATCACCCTCCTGGACCTGATGGCGGGAGAGGAAGGGAATTCATTCGCTGTCCTTCCTCTCCCCGAGAACGATCTGATGCTACTTGTGAGTTGTGACTGACTGATGCCTATGTAGACATGGGAGTATGATATCGTGGCAATTATTTGTAAGCCGCTCTTGTGTTTTCCAGAATCGCTTGCTGATGAGATAGTCAGTGAAACTCTGACGTGGCAGTCTGTGTGAGAGCCCCCCCGTTTCTTGTTTTTTTCCTCCGTTTCTGATGACTGTTTATCGGCAGTTCTTCAGTGGTCAGGGCTGTCAGTACGTGGTCATGCCATGCGTCTATAATGCCACTGGTGTGTCTGGAGTGTGTATTTTCTGACTGTGACAGACATTTCTTTGTTTTGTGGGGGGTTTGCTGGCGTATGATGGGGTGTTAACCTGCAGTCCATAGGGTCTTCCGTCTGGTGTGGGCGAGTAATAGTCTGCTGTGATTTCCATCACAGGTACCCTTAAGGGGAGTTGTTAGTGGCCCCCTCAGGGTATCAGTTCTGGGCCAGTCGTTGATGCTCAACCACAACTGAGGTCAAGGTGGATTACCACTTTCGGTATCATCTGTTAGGGAACTCCGCAGACTGTAGAGGGTTCAGCCTCGTGATGAGTTGGGGAGACTCCGACGGAAGTCTGTCACAACCCCCGTTTTTTTGTTCTTTTCTCCCTTTTTGCCCAAGGTTCATCGGGCGTTTGTCTATGATTAAATAGATAGGCTAGGATTTTTGTTCCACGTCGGGTCAGCTTGAATAAGTGGCAGCATCTTCAGTCACTGTCACATAAGCAAACAGTCACGGCATGGGCATGACAAACTTTCCTCTTCTCTGTACATTATCTGGACTGGAATGATCGCCTAAATTTGAGCCCTCCTGATGATGATGAGAGTTAATGGAAATTTGCTGAGTGGTTATGTCATTGTCACATGGACATGATGCAACCATATCGGGGTAAGGTAAATCGCATATGGGAGGAGGATGCGCTGTCACATCCATGCTAGGGTGTTGAAAGTATGTCATGCAAGGGGAGGGCTGGATTTTATTTATTTATTTATTTATGTGTGTGTGTGTGTGTGTGTGTGTGTGTGTGTGTGTGTGTGTGTGTGTGTGTGTGTGTGTG